AGACTGAAAATTGGTCTTGACTTTAGTACCAAACATTATAGTCTGCTTCAGTTCAATAACAAGATAAACGGTAGTAGTCCACTTAAAGAAAGCAACTACTGATCTTTTAAAAAATCATTTGACATTTCTTTCTTTTTATTAATCAGGATTAATGTCCTATTAAACTGAGCTACCATTAAATTATTTTTGGCTAATGTAGACAATATGTTTTTGATTTGGGGAGAGTGGTGGGGTGTTGTGGGGGGGGGGGGGGGGGGTAAAGTTCTTTTGTGAAATGAGCCCCAGGTCTAAGTTAGTCCTGATGTGAACCTGCCTTTTGACTTATTTACAAGTGGGGAATCCTATTTCCCTGTCAACTTTGAGCAATACTGACTTTTCAAGGAGGAAAAGCAAAATATAATTTAAAAAGGTCTAGGATTTGAGATTTATTTTTTGTGACTAATTGTAAAAAAATATTATCATGGTTATTATTGTACAAGTATTTTTTCCCTTTCATTTCACCAGAAGGAACTCCATGGTTCAGAAGATGAAGAAGAGCAGTCAGCCACCGTTATTGTAACTCCAAAACCAGAAAAAGAGAGAAAGAAGCCAGGCCGCAAACCCCTGCCCTATGAAGAGGCTTTGAAGAAACGGATCAATGTTCTCTATGATACAGTATTTAACTTCCAGGTGTGAAAACTGCTCTGTTTTGTGTTACTTCACTAGCTGCTTGTGTGTTAATGTTCTGTCACAGTTTGAGCTGCTTTGGTAATGCTGTATTTCAGACATGAGCTTTTTCTGCGGAAAAGCGGAATTCTGCATTTTTTAATTCAGTTCTGATGGTTCCTGAGATTTGTCTTGTCTGAGATTCGATAAATGTTCAGATATATATATTTTTGAAACCTAGGCTCATGTCTGGTATTTGAATTGAAATGATTTATAAGCGGAATGTTTATTAGTAGCTCTCCTTTTAAACTTGGTGGGTGGGGGAAAAAGTTATTATTTTTGTAAGATATAGACTTGCTTTGGAGTAGTGTAAGGAAAATGGTTGGAAAATTTTGCTTCTTTTGTTTTCTGCTTTGCTTTTCATGAAAATTTTGAATTACTATATTATTATGATCACATTACCTTCTGAAACCAACTAACTCATATTTTCTGATAAACATATAATTTTTTTATCATTTTTGATTTTCCTGTTCAGGAAGAAAACCGCTCACTGATAGATATCTTCATTGAGCTACCTTCAAAGAAGGAATACCCTGATTATTATCAAGTCATTTCTGAACCCATTGACATGAATACCATCAAGACTAAGATAATGGAAGAAAAGGTAGTTATACACATTTCTGTTATATGTGCGTTACAGTTTTTAAGTTCTGTATTATTTTTTCTGCGTGAAACTTTTTGGCACTGAAAGAAATTTTAAAAGTGTTTCCTTATAAATAGGTTACTATGAACGTTTTAGCTTTTCCAAATGATTAATTTTTACAAGTGTATTCCATGCTGTTAAAGTTTTTAACAATTTTTTACTTCTGAAAATATGCTGAAATTATTTTTGCAAGTATTGTTTAAGTTGTATGATGTTATTACCTAACAATAATTTTGCTGTACTGAATGAATTCATTCACTTTTTCAGTATACTACAGAGCAAGCCCTGATAGCGGACCTCAAGCTGATGTTCAGTAATGCCAGACATTACAATGAGGAGTCTTCTCTGGTCTACCAAGATTCACAGACGCTAGAAAGAGTGCTGAAACAGAAGATAAGAAACCTCACACCACTGTCACCACCCTCTAAACAAGGACAGAAGAAGTTAGTCTATATTTATTGATACCTTTTTGCATAAATATTGTGAAAAAATAAAATTTTTTCTAATGAGACTAATGAGTTTTATACCTAAGCAGCAAGATCTTTCAAGCCCTATCAAAAGGCCTCATACAAACACATAAAGTCTCTTAAAAGAAACAGTCTGTTTTTTATCGTCACTGCACAAGAGACATTGAAAATCCTATTGCACTGAATTTTGTTAAATATTCTCACTTTTACACATAGAGGCTAAAAAATAATTCTTGTCTCTGATATATATCTGTTTTACCCAATGCCACCCATTTTTCACAAAGAAGGTGAAATTGTTGGTTTTTCTGACAAAAGAGTGTTGTTCTGTGGTCATCATATTCTGTATCCAGGCGAATACATGAATTTTATTTGACAGATTTCAAATTAAAAGAAAAATGTTAAATCTGTGGAAAAGTGTTTGCTTATCTGTTCTAATATATTTTGTGATAAATAAATTGTTTGTTGATTTTGTTTGTCAGTCGTCCCAAATCCAAGAGTTTGTCTCCATTGGCTCAGAAGCTACAGCAAGTCTATGACATCATAGCCAACTTCACAGACTCCAGGGGCAGAGTACTGTGTCCTCCCTTCATGAAACTGCCTTCCAGACTGGTGAGTGGACATGTGTTTACTGACACTAGGGTCATTTCTTCTATGTTGCCAGATGTGAAGAAAAGATAAGTGCAATTTGAAGAATTGTTTATTTCATATTAGTTGCCCCTTTCCTTTTTTTTTTACACGCACAGTTGTCCCAAAGGTGTAATCTTAGGGTCTATTCCCACAACTTTAGATCGATCTATCACCGCGGGGAGTCTCACTAGATTACTGTCAGATAATCCCCCTTAAGTGTCCGTCCCCGCCTACTACAAGCTGTAAGGGTTTATTAACTTTCGTGTCCGCCCGGCTGACAGCTATTTAGCGTGAACCCCCAGGGAGTTAGGTCGATCTAAAGTAGGTCGATCTAATCTATGGAAATGGGGTGTTAGACTAGTATGTATGCTGACATCGAGTACAGTAGTTTTCGTTATTTCTTTTCGTTATCTCTTTTTGTTATCTCTTGTATAATAATAATGATGATAATGATAAAAGAGTGTATTGTTTCTAAAGAGTGTGAATGAACCCAAAAATAAAAAAAACGTAATTTGATGATTTATTAAGAGATAGAAAGCACATTGATGACCACTATAAACATATGTCATATTTTTTCACAGGAGTATCCTAACTACTACGAAGTAATCAAGAAGCCTATAGATATGCAGCACATCTTTGGCAAGATGACAAACAACAAGTACGAGAGCCTGGAAGACCTGGTCTCAGACTTTGTACTCATGTTTGACAATGCCTGCAAGTTTAATGAGCCAGACTCTCTCATATACAAGGTGAGGAGGAAATGACAGAGACGGGTGGATTGAGTGGTGTTTATCATATTGTTTATAATATTGATAATGGTAGTAACTAGAAAAACACTCAGAGAGCACAGACCTCTTCTGCGACAAATAGTTAACTAATAAATTAATTAACCTAAACAATTTCAAGTTAGCACATTTCTGACCTATCCTGAAAATTTTTATCAAAATCCATCCTAAAATTTTTGAGCTAAACTTGTGACAAACACACATCAAAATAACAGACAAACAGAGGTGAAAACATAATCTCCTTGGCAGAGGTAGTAATGATGAAAAAAATGATGACGGTTTTTAATTTTGAAGGTAAAGAGTTGATTATAAATTTAAGGGATGTTTCATCTCACCTGGATAGAGAATTCATTAAATTGTAAGTGTAATTATCTACAGGTCAAGTAGTTCTTAATATTGTCTATGTGTCTTTCCCTGTCCAGGATGCCCTCACACTGCAGAGAGTGTGTCTGGAGAAGAAAGGAGAGCTGCAAGATGAGGAAGATGATAATGAAGTCCCAGATGTAAAAGCTGTGGTGCTGGAAATGATGACTAATCTCTTCATTTCTGTCTACAACTACCAGGTTTGTATGGGGTGGGATAACTTATCTGTCAGTCGACAATCTCGTGTAAATATTTTATAGCACTGGATTTATGATGACAATTCTTGATTATTTTTGCTATTGATTAAAAATGGGAAAATCAAAGTAGAAATTGATGTGAGCAAGGTTCCTAATTTTGTTCGTTTCAGGATGAAGAAGGTCGTTGCTATAGTGACTCCTTTGCTGAGTTGCCCTCGAAAGAGGTTGCAGAACAGGAGGGAGAGCAACCAGTTGTGACTGTGTAAGTCTTAAATGTTAGACACACTCTCTCTCTCTCTCTCTCTCTCTCTCTAAGTGGGGGAGGAAAGGAGGCATTCAACTGCTTTTATTGTTGGTTCATGGAGCATGGTATTTTTAAAATGCCAAGTAACATAGTATTTCAAGTGCTTAAATTCTTTTAATGAATGAGATGAGTGCACTTTGGTGGTGCAGTTAGAAACATTTACATTCTTTAATGTGATGCATTTTCAAGTATTGGTTGGGTTTTATACTTAACTATCATGTTAACTTTTTGATTCCAGAAAACCTCTTACATTTGACCAAATCAAAAGAAATTTAGACAGGGTATGTATCATTTCCTCTTTTGAAAACTGTGGCTGTGCATGTAATGAAGAAATCATAAAAATTATGAACACTTTCCTTATAATTTGAAGCCTTTTCAGAAAGTTTTAAAAATTCAAGGAGAAATTTGCTGTTTGATGAGATAGCAGCATATATTAATGCATCCAATTCCATTTTTCAGGGAAGATATCGCAGACTGGACAGATTTCAAGAAGACATGTTTGAGGTGTTTTCATACGCACGCAAGGTTAGCCGCACAGACTCCCAACTTTACGAAGACGCTGTTGAAATGCAGATGTTTTTTATCAAGATTCGTGATGAGCTCTGCAAGAACGGGGAGCTCTTGTTAACGCCTGCGCTCAGTTACACTGAGAAACACCTGCAGAGTGCTCTGGATGAGGAGAAACAGGAGAAGCTGCCAAAAGAGATGCGTGAAGATGAAGAAAAGAAACAGGCAGAAGAAACAAACAAAAAAGAACAAGAAAAAGAAGTATGCTTTTAAAGATATTTAGCTATTTATTGTGAACCTTATATAATTTTCATAGTTTCTTACATAAAATGACATTAAGTTGACCCCACAATTTATTTTTATGAAATTTATAGAAAATATTTAAGTCCAGTCAAATCAATATCTATTTACTACAGTAGTCATTCTCTTTCATTATTTACTTTTTTCCTCAGAATTTTGGAATCATTTCAAATATGTGATAATTATGCAAAATTACAGCAAGAAGACATTGGTGAGAACAGTGTGAGTTATGGTGGTCAGACCTATTCAGTGGGGGACTTTGTGTACATTGAGCCAAGGTAGGATACACATTACCATTTTTATCCCTGGACCCTCCCTCCAAGTTCCCCCCTTCTCACACACACACACACACACACACACACACACACACACACACACACACACAAAAAAAAAAATAAATAAATAAATAAATAATTAAAAAAATCTTGCTTGGTACAAATGTGTTCCTGTGTGAAAACTTAAGTCCTGCAAGTTCCTGCGAATGCAAACTTAAGCATTGAAAAAATTTGCAGTCACAAAGAGTCAGGTAATAGACAATTGTTCAGTAATGCGTTGGAAAACAGTGTACATTACATGTAAAGTATTTCATTTTATAGCCCCCACCAAAAATTGAAAGCTTAGCTTAAAAATTTTAAAAGTATTATATCACAATCTGTACTAAGAGAAGTTTAAATGGCATCCAATATGTTCATATTCTTTGTTTCAACAGAAAACTTTTAATCGGTATAAGGGTGGAAAATTTACCAGATCAGTATTACATCAGCAGTACCTGTCCATTTTTTATACTGTTTAAAAGTTTGCTAATGATAAAACGAACCCATACTATATTGACATCAACGCATATCAAATGAGACTCTTCAAGATCGCGTATGTGGTGACACGTACATGGAGTTATGATGTTCTTTCTAGGGAGAAAGGGTTGGAGCCTCACATCGTGTGCATAGAGCGCCTGTCTACAGAACCCACAGGAGAAAACTTCCTCTATGGCTGCTGGTTTTGTCGACCAAATGAAACATATCATCTGGCAACCAGAAAGTTTCTTGAAAAGGTACGTACCCAACAGCCATACCATTAGGAGGATGTTTATGAAAGATACAGAATATTTATAGAAAAAATTGCATAGGGAAAAACCTCTAATGGTTAGAAGTTTATCTGTGTGTGTGTGTGTGTGTGTGTGTGTGTGTGTGTGTGTGTGTGTGTGTGTGTGTGTGTGTGTGTTTTCTACAGTTAACTTTAAGTTGTTTTAAACCAGCATTTCTATGTTTTCTATTTTTCACAATTTAGATATGGACTGTTGATATCATAAAAAGAAATTAAGCCTTAAGCAATACTTAATTAACTGGACTTAAATATGGAATTGGAAAGCAAATAGTCCAGGGCATAATAACACTGATCTGCTTTCTCATTCCCAGGAGGTGTTCAGAAGTGATTTCTCAGACAGAGTCCCACTAAACATAGTGCTGGGCAAGTGCTTTGTCATGTTTGTCAAAGACTACTTTAAAATGAAACCAGAGGTAAGTAGTAATTGGGTTTGAAATACATATGCATTTATTTTTATCATCACTAACTAAGTCAAAGAATTATTCGTGTTTGAAAACATAAAAACATAATTAGTGCAAAAGCTCTGAAATTGGGATGTCAAAGCTCTGAAATTGTAATTAAAAAAAAAAGGACTTGTTGATAGATCCTCTTTTGACAGTAGAAAGATATTTCCTGTAGTACAAAGATAACAACTCTGACCTGTTTGAGTTCATTCATGTTTGATAATTTGATGAAAATCATTTTGTTTTTTTTGCCTTTTTTGATGGTTTAAAAAATTAAATCATTCCACCTATATCATTCCTTCAACATATTAAATCTTTTTTAAGAAACAATTTTCTTTAATTCCAACATGTTTAATACTGTTCTAATATAACAGGGTTTCCCAGACAAGGATGTGTACGTCTGTGAATCAAGGTACTCTGCAAAACACAAAGCATTCAAAAAGATAAAGATCTGGCAGGTGCCTCGCAATGAGAGCGTTAAAATCGTGCCACGAGAACAGATGCTAACCACAGTACGCGTGGCCTCCGTGTTCGCAGAAAAAATGGTGGGAGGCAAGGAGGATATTGGAGATGATGGACAGCCGTTTTTGCTAGACAAGCGGAGAAGTGTAAGGATTATTTTTCTTTAGTACTTCTCAGAATGATTAAATAATTTAGAAACTACAAAAACACATTTTATGAAACTTAAATGAATATTAGCATTATGGCTCATAAAAGCTTGTGTTGGTAGTTTACATCATATATCATGTATAAAAAGTTGTTTTGTCAAATGCCCTCAATAAAAACAATTTTATGAATATGACATTATTACATTAGACCAAGAACTGTCTTAATAGTAAAGTCATTCTTTTTTCTTTGAACAAAACATTTTAAATGTTTTACATTTGATATTTACTTTAGGTTGTCATTCAGGAAGTTGCCACTCCTGAGGAAGGAATAACATACTATGAGCAGTTCATTGCTCCTAATGGCTGCTTCAAACTAGGTAAGATATAGAACTGCAGACAGGGGGAAACTGCTTGGATTTCAGTCACAGACTGACTTTAAAAAAAGAAAAAAAAAACAACTTCAGAAGTGGCAATGGTCAAGTGATTCTTGTTGCTTGACAGTAAATCTGCAGGTATGCAGCAGGTATTTTTCAGGTTAAACTTTCAGACTGTTTGATGTAGATCTTGACCAGCATTGGTCTGCATGTTGTACCTCCAATGTGGTACCTCCGAAGTGGCACATTTTTGTGAGCTGTTTAGATGAATATATTCTGCCAAAATACGTTTTGGTTATGTATGATTTTCTAACTAACATTTTTTTCTCATTTGACAACTATGCAACTATTTTCTGGTCATTATTTCATCTGAGTCATTATTTTTTTGGTCAGTTATTGCAAGTAAAATGTTTGTTTTCCTTAAGATATTATTGATCTTGTTCAATTTTCAGATGATCATGTCTATGTGAAAACAGAGAGGGAAATGCCTATCATTGTCAAGATAGACAAGATGTGGGCAGACCAGAGGTAGGGGATGGGCTAGGAGTTCTATTTATGTTTAACGTGGGTCAGAAAATAAGTATATTTTCATTATTATTAAAACTTCATATTCTCAGTTGTGCAAGTTTACATAATGGAAATTATTTCAAATCTTTCTTTTGTTTCATGTCTGTTTATTTGTCACCTTTGTTATCTTTTTCAGTTAATTATAATTCAATTGGGTAAATTTGAACAGAAAATAAAAGTAGTACTATTGAATATTATCACTACCTCTTTTTGTACAGTGAACATAAAAAGTATTTGTGACCCATTTAGAAATAAGCAGCTTCTAACAGATAGATGCATTTAACTAGTATTGGATGAGTTTTTACTTTGAAATAAAATATCACTGTTAAATATCATCTCTTTCAATTATTTCAGGGGTGCAGTGTACATTCAGGGCCCAAAGTATTTGTATCCTCTAGAAGTGGAGCATCCACCTACCAGACTGTTCTTCAGAAGAGAGGTTTTCCACAGTGACACGGAGCCCATTACATACTCACTGGCTAATATAGTGGGGAAGTGTGCTGTGCTTTTCTACAAGGAGTTTTGTACAAGTAAGTTAGTGACTTATAAACAATTTTATGTTTCTAACAATTATCAAGAGATATTTTTTTGTGAAAGGGAAGTATTTTTCACATGCGTTACATAATTTTCCTTTTGTCAGCATAAAATGAAAATTTGAATACAGAAACAATAATTTTTTTGGTGTGAAAATGCTTGAATTTGTCATCAATAGTGATGTAAATCCTACAGCTATTACAGCTCAAATTAAAATTATTGATTCAAATGAAAAGATAGTTTGTTGAGTGACAAGTATCTCCAGTACCAAGTCTGTATCAAGTCTGTAATTGATAGCATATGTATGTATTTTTTGTTTTTCTATTATAGGCCGACCCACAGAATACCCAGAGAAAGATGTCTATGTCTGTGAGTCCAAATATGTGGAGGCAGAAAAAACTATTAGAAAAATGTCCAAAAGCTCCAAGGTAAGCCCAGTGTCAAATCATTGTATATAAAGCCAAAACAGTGATATTAAGTCATTTTGTTTTTTTAATTGTTGTATTTATTTTGAGTGACTGTCCTGCGTGGTGTTTTCTAATGTTCATTGAGTAATTGAGATCTTCAGATTTAAGATTATTTTACAAAATATTTTGAAAAACTTGTTTTCACAGATAAAACTGATTAAAAAAACTTTTTTCCAGAAAATTACTTTGTCACCTAAAGTCACAGATGATGAAATCTACTTCTTTAGAAAGTCCATCACACCTAAGAAGGTAAATATATTTTTGATGGAAAGAAGGCTATATAAAGGGGAAGATATTGCCCTTAAAGATGTCTACTGATATGTACACAATTCTTGTTTTTATATATCATAAGTGAACATATTTCAGGTACTCAAATGTACGGTGAATAATTATCTTCTATTCCACTTTTCTCAAAATTTAGGATAATACATTGTTTTCAGGTGAAACCTTTGTTTTTTTTATTATTACTTTTCCAAATGTTACATTGCATCAAAAATTTGGCCAAGTATTCATTTTTGTCCTATTTATTTTAATGTCAAGGTGCCATCACCTCATCTTCTGGCTGCAGTTGATGAGCCAGCAGACGACATGGCATCTGAGATGACAGAGGCGCCACCTAGCAACATGGATGAAGACAGCATGATGGAGCACAGCTTCAGTTATAACACCAGTTTTGATGAATTGCATGCAAGGCCTGCTACGCCATCTTCAGCGTCTGTTGAGGGAAAGCCAGCTAAGAAGGTGGTTAGTAGGACAGTAGATAGAATTTCTAGATGTCTGATGATATTTTCTTCTTCAACTTGAGATCTGTAATCTAAATAAATTTAAAAATTACTCATTGATTTAGTTAAAATTGACTGTAAGGATGTAAATATATATACAATTTTTTAATTGTTTTTTCTTGTTGTCTGTGTTGAAATTTGCAGATGATGGTTCAAGCAATATGTATCCTAGTGTGAGAATACTTCTTGTACAGAGGTGTCTGAATACCTGTTACTAAGTATTTAACCATTTTTCTGAATTTTAGCAAAAGAGGAACCGTAAGCCCACAGGATATATCATATACGCAGCAGAAGTGAGGAAGAAACTCAAGGACCAGCATCCTGACTACTCATTTGGAGAGCTCAGTAAAGTGGTCGGGAACAATGTAAGGGCTGAGTACTGGATAGTTTAACCTGTAATCGCACTAGATTTAAAGTCAGTTGTGATAATAATAAATGCCAGTCTGAGAGACATAGATATTTTGTGATTTTGTACAAGGTTTTTAATGCACTTGATTGGGGTTTTATAGCTCCACAGAGTTATTGTGGTTAGCTTAAAGACACTTCTTTCTTTACATTTGCTTCAGCTCCCATGATTTCTACTTATATATAATTTGTGACTTATGCTGTAATCTTTATTTATTTAGTGGAAGAGTCTTCCAGATGAAGAAAAGAGGCGCTATGAGGAAAAGGCCAAGAAACAGGCAGAGATCAACGATGCTAAGAGGGCGGCAGAGGCCGAGGCCCAGGCAGCTCAGTCTCCAGTCCCAGGGTACAGGACAGGGTCCCCGGGGGTGGCTGGACATGGCCAGATGACCCCAGGGATGTATCCACAGCAACACATGCAAGGTGAGTGTTCTGTGAAAGATTGCACTGAAGCACTCAAGTACCAGGCATAGGCTTTGAAGCACCACTTGGCAGAATGAAATGCTATAGAATTTCCACATCTTCCTTGCAACAAACATGAACTAACATTTCCAAAACCTAATTGACACACTTTTTAAATAATGAAAATGTCCTGCATTAATATTATAATTATATATATATATATATATATATATATATATATATATATATATATATATATATATATATATATATATTTTTTTTTTTTTTTTTTTTTTTTAAAGAGATTTTGAAAGCCATGAACGTCACAATTTGTCAAACCATAGAAAAGTAGAACAACAATTTTGCTGGCGTCAGAAATTTTTGACGCATTTATTACTTTTCATTTGGGTTTTGAATACTGGAACTAAACTAATTGCATGTCTGTGTAGGTTATCCTCCTGGTTATCCTCAGCAGCAGCAGAGGTATCCCAACCAGATGCCCCCACCCCAGGGCATGCAACCAATGCATGGGATGCAGTACATGGGCCAAGGTAATGATAATGATGGTAATTAATATAAGGTGCTGTGTTCTTATATAAAAGAAATTGTGTATGTGCTCAACTATCACAATGTAGATGGTCGCTGTGTTAGTTGTGCTCTAATAGCACAATAGAGTTCTGATCATGCTGTTGATTCAACTAACAGGATAAATCGAGCATTGTGTTAGTTGTGCTCAGATAGCACAATGTAGAGGTCATTGTGTTGTTGGTTCAACTAACACATCATGTAGGCCATTGTGTTGCTGGGTTCATATAGCAAAAGCGTAGGGGGATTATATAAATTTTTTAATATTGCTTGACTAAAACATGTTTCAGTCAGTGTGGTTCAACAAGTTACTCGTTTACAGTATTTTGTGTTGTTGCATTGTTGTTATTTAGCCAGTGTTAGAGACATTATAATGCATGGTTGTATTTTGATCCACATCACTGTTTGCAGCATGTTATTGAATATTTTTATTATCATATTAAGTGTAGACTATATCTCCTTATAGCCACCCATGTTTATGCTTTCTTCTGCATATTTCTTATTATCACCTGATATTTTATATTAATTTTACAATATTTATACATACATAGTCTATGTGCACTGGGTTCAGACTAGCATTATAATTTTTTTGGGGGTGTATATATATATATATATATATATATATATATATAATTTCATTTTTTTTCTTTTTGACATAATGTACTGCCAGTACATTTAGTGATCATCAACATCAAAATAGTAATTAGAGGCTGGTAATGCTGCACATTTCTTTTTACATTTTGTGCTTCTAGCACAATTACCTGAACAATTTTAAAAAGTCTTTGCATTATTGAAAACTTGCTGAAATTAAAAGACATTAGCATGTTCATTCAGGTATGACCAAAATCACTGGAACAGTGTTTTTAGTAATTAGTATTTATATTGAAATATAAATTAAAAGTGGAAATTCTGTTTTGCTTTAAATTTTGTTAGTCCCTTGCTAAACCAAAATGCAGCAAACCTTTTTTGTGATTATGATTTATGTGTATTATGAATTGGCTGTAAAGTAATAAATGTTTTTATGCTAGTATGAACCCAGATTAGTTATTTAATCAATGTGTATTTTGTACAATGTCATGTTGTATATGTAGACAGCAGGGCAGTGCCTGTAGGTGTGCATGTTTTCTGTTTATTTCAAAGGCATGGCTCCCCAACAACAGCAGCATGGACCTCCCCAGGGCATGATGCACGGTGGCATGGCTTACCCCCACACCCACACCCCACCCCAGAGGCCAGGCATTCCATACCCCCATGGAAATAACACCCCGGGGACCCCTTACCAACCCTCTCAGGGTAGCACCCCTGGGACTCCATACCAAACCCCCCAACAACAGGGGCAGCTTAATTACCAGATGATGTCTGGGGGACATATGTATCCCCAACAGGCCCAGGGGGGTCACTCCATAGCCCCACACCCCCCACAGGCTATCCCAGGGTTTAACTCAACAACACCTGCCAGGCCCTCTGATAGAGCTAGCCCTGCACAGGCTGATCCTGCTATTAAAGGTAGATTTTGAATTTGATTTCTCCTTTCAATTTGATAAGATTATTATGATCTTATACTTATTATTTGCTTTCAACATATTAAAGGCTTATTTATCTGTTTATTATTATATTTTGTTGTTGTTCTGTTCCTTTTTTTGGATGCCAAAATATTAATGCCATCGTATATGCCTTGATTATGACATTAATTATATCAATAATCTTACATATTCATGTGCTTTGTGCATGTGGGATGACTTGATATAAGTTGGAAACTGGGTCACCAAGTGCAATAGATTCAGGTGCTTTATGACTTTAAATATTTTAAGGGATAAAACAACTGTGCATTCCTTTCACTGCTACTGTTTTCTCAGAGATGGTTTTTAAATGCCAGATAATCAATACAGATGGTGAGGTCAATTTTTTAAGTGTCAGGAGACAATTACTATAGATGGCGCTGCAGGTTTTGTTTCCTTATTTGGTAGGTTCTTCCATGGCTCCTCCACTGCCTCCGCCAAGGCCACCTTCACCCAAGTTTGTCACAGTGCCTGCCAAGACACAGAGGCTGCTACACTCAGAGGCTTATCTCAGGTACTGGGAATGACATAATTAATGCGGTTTTCAATAAGTAAACATACATCTTTTATTGAATTGAAACTTCTATATTATATTGGTCTAAAACATGTGCTGTTCTTACATTGGTAAGATCTTTTAAGATATTAAAATATGTTCATTGGCACAGACATGGGAAAATTTTTGAGATACTGAAGGGTCTAGAGGACCTATACTACAAGATATCCCAATTCTGGGCAGGTCCATACTAAGCATTTTATTTCCGTTAGTCTATGTTTACGTGTGATTTATTGTTTTGCATTGCATATTGAATAAACGTTGCAAGTCCAGATGACCTACAGTGTCATAATCTTGCAGGTCCTCTGGCATTTCAAGTGGTCACGACCAGCCATACAGGCTGTTTCCCCATGTCTCTTGGCATTTGTTGCATGTCTGGCACATCATAAATTAATGCCCACTCCACCATGCTGGAGTCTTATTTTGTGACATACACAATATTAAGTCAGATACACCACAAGGCAGCAAGGTGTAAGTAACACCCACATTGCTAACTGGTTTTGTATCTATTACATGTTGACAGATTTCTGTCAAACTGAATATTCTCTATTTATCCTCTCTCCATGTGCAGATATATTGAGGGTCTCAGTGCAGAGAACAAGACAATCAGCAACTTTGAGCGCCACTTGACGGCAACACCAGAAAACACGCCATTCCATCCCAACAGACGTCTCCCTATTGATTGGCTGGGGCCTGGCGTAGGACCTCACAATAATGCTGCCAGCGCCCTCTGGGCTTTAAGAGATCTGATGCTGAAAGATGCCATGAATATTGCAAAGGTGGCTGAACCATTTTAGACTTAGTAATAATGCTTAAAGCTTTACTTAAGAATTTGGGACCAGAAAGTGAAAAAAAAATTCCTCAAAAGGAACTTTTTCTTTGTTTTCATGTTGACTCTGGTTTGAACAAATTCAGTAAGTATTATGTACTGAAACATCAGTTTGATAGAAGCAAGTCTTTTTTTTTGTTTATTTTTTAACATCCGTTTTATCTATCTTTCACTGAAATTTAGTCAAGGATGTGCAGCATCAGTTTAAGTCAAGTAGAGATCACAAGATCTTGGAAATGAGCTTTTATCCCAGTGCATCAGTCTGAACTATTTGAGTTGGAGTTGGTGCTGTCAAAGCAAGTTTAGCAGACAAAATATCAACGGGCTGCATGATGATTTTATGTTGTACAGTTGCCTCTATGTACCTACAGAAAATTGATGTAAGGAGATTAAAATTCTCTTAAATATAAATAAATGTTGTTAAGTGTAATTTGTGGTACACAAAGTATGTTAACGTGACAAATTTTTAAAAAGTGATTAAGGAATTATTTGGTCCAACAACGGACTCGGTGTTGTTAAAAACAAAAATTCATGTTATATACGCCATTTATTGACAAATGTTTTTGACATTCAAATAAAGAGACAAAACCTCTGTAACACATGGTAATATTTACCAGCAATTTGCATTTCATCTATCATATAGCAAAGAACAAAGTATGAATGATAGGACTTTCGTCTGTGCTTTCTCCTACATTAGAAGCCATGTTAAGAAAATTTGCAACCTGCGAACAAATTCAATCACGTCCAATTGTAGGCCTGGGATAACGAATGTTACTCACTCGTTTTTGCACTTCAACTTCAGCTAAATAGACTTCCGATTATTTCAGTGCTCCATTTTGGATGACAAAGAAGTTGCATTTCAGTAAGTTTCAAGGATAGAATTTTTATGTGAACATACTTATAAACACAACTATGGAAAAGCACCACAAAGTTTATGTAACTTCTACACAAAATTGTTCAACCTCTGCAATAAGCTCAACTTCTATCATGTTTACAAACAGCTATTCAAGTTGCACAGTTGATCCTATACACAAACATACTCCTCCCCCTTAATATATTCTGACCCAACTAATAAACTAACACTTAATAAATTGGGTTTGATTGTAAAATTGGCAGCCATGTTACAACACCCGGGTCTCACATCCTGATAGCGATATGCTCTCCTGCATGTACTATATATACAGCCGGCATCAGACTGTGAAACTCGGGTGCGTGATCTCTACACAATTTATTAAATATAAATTACTAGTCATGCTCAATATGGCTGGCAAAACTTACGACCTGAGAAGCATATGTACACAAATGTTTGACATGATGATATTATTACAGGCTCATAGCAAACATAACTGCAACAAGGACATGGATATTATTATTAGTGTCAACATGAAAAAGATTACCTCTTTTTGGAACTAATCTGTGGGAAACATTCTATACTTAGTTTCAACTGCTCATAATTTTTTACACTGGCTTTGCTCCATCACCCTGAACTCCTATAATATGCTTTTTTTATTAATCATCGATTTTTGAATGTTTTAAAATTCAGTTAGCAAATGTTTAAATTTGTGACTACAAGACATTTAATTGGTCCAGTTGAAGATTTGGTCCAACTGAGTCGCAATCAGTCACAAATACTATGATACATCATTATAGGTACTTGCATTATGCAATCAAATAATTGAACTGCAAGCAGTGGAATGAACAGGGAATGGCAATGTCAAAAAATTAAAGCTTTGAAGATTTGCTCTGCAATGTCACTTAAAAGTACAATTTTTTGAAGCCTCCCCCCCCCCAAAAAAAAATAAAATAAATAAATAAATAAAATCGCTAATCATGCTGTCAACATGTAGTAAATTACAGGTGTCCCTCTTAAGTTTTTATAATTGAATGAATAGTGTCTGACAATCTTTTAATCTTACACTTAAGCAGTTTATTGCCAACGCTTAGAAATTTCTGAAAAGAGTAGCTCAACTCCAATTTCCTCTTCCATCAATTATCTTATCCACTTTTTACAAGCAATATGGTTTTATGCTTCACCTTCCGATGAAAAGAACCACATCCAAGTTAATTAAAGAATACGACTTTGCATGATTTTTTTCTTTGTCAAAGATCCACATCCAGCCTTTGAATGAATACGGAACCAACTTCCTCAAATTCCTTTCAGTTCTTCCCTTGCCTCTCCTTTTTTCCCTACACATTTGGTGATTGTACAATACATATCTCTGCCAGAGTTTCTTTGCAATTATAGTCACCCTGTAGTGGAATTACTTCTCAATATGTGTGCTAGAATAAGGATTATAATACAAGCTTTACATGACATTTATATTTAGATCCACAATACTGCAGAGCACACACACACAGAAGTCGTTCCATACAAGGGACACATGCAAAATATATAATACATAGGGCTGCTTGTGAAATAACAAACATAGATCAATTAATCAATCATTCTGGTCATCACAGCTGCAGCTTTTCCAGTTTTGTCTTTTTCTTCTTTCTATTGCTCCTCATCGCCCAACTGATGCTTAACTTGACTGAAGTCAAATTCGTGGCCCATCGCTTTGCGGTAAATGTCTAGTACATCCTGGCATGTTGTCTCAAAATGGGTCGTAGCATCATACGACTTGGAGACAAACAGCTAAAATTATAAAGAACAGCACTGATAGAAAATTTTACTACAAACACACTTATAAGAAATCTGTGTGCTAGAACACCTGGACAAAAAATGATAAGTCCGTCTAACTTGTCATGAAGACTAATATCATTTGAACAGGACAAAAAAGAATGCAAGCATTGCCCTTGAAATGATTAACCACAAAACAACAATCAACCAGCCACAGTAATTTTTTCAGATTCTTATAAGAAAGTTGCTGTGTAAGTGACCAAAAAAAAAAAACATTGTCGACCCATGGCGACAAACTTCCCAAACTTGAGGGCATTTAAATGTAACTAAATTCACGCCACTGCTCTTCAGTATATATCTACACTTAAAATACAAGGTCACTGTTAAATGCAAATACAGAAACCTCAATAAAGTCTAATGTGCACAGTGACATTTTAAGTGTGTCATAGAATTTTTCTTCTCACCTGAGTTGATACTCCATCTTCTGTTGGCTCAAACAGGTCACTCACACTTACAAACCTGGAAAAAAAAAAGCATTCAGATTTTGTTTTGGCAACTCTCAGAACACTCTAAAACAGCCTTAATTCACAACTTCATGATAGCAATAAATCTATTATCACAACTATTTTTTCACAAAATAATGATTTCAGACTGAGACAGTCGAGAAAATTTTTTCTACAAAAGATAGCATGTGATATCCTAGTATTTAAATAATCCTTCTCCAATTCTTAGGATTTTTCTACAAAATACTGATCATAACATGTCCAAAATAAGATTTATTTTCCACAGTCAAAGGGTGGCTTGTAATTCACAACATAAAATCAATTACTAGGCCTGAAGATACATGTAAGGATACATCTACATTTTTGTATCAACTGTTGACAGTTATACCGACTGACCAAAGGCCATCTGTGGTCAAGCTCACCAGTGGCCAGACAACTTTTTTTAAAACAGCATGGATCTAACCCCAACTGATGTACCCTTGGGTTTGGAAGTTATTTCACAAAGAGTGACTCACTTTTGTTTGATAGGGCCTAGCAAGTCCAGTCCAACCTTCAGTTCTGCTTCTGGGTTGTCAGTCTCTACTGTGGTGCTCACAATGGCCAAGTAATGTCCCTTGGAACACACATTATGGGTAGAAGATACACAGCACACATAGATATCTGAAATATAATAGTCAACAAATAAGCTGTAGTTCTTACAGTTTTATTTGGTGCCAAACAACAGGTCAAGTGAAAACTTGATTAGGAAATGTAAGGGCTTGAAAATTTGAAGATTTCTATAGTAATTTTCCCCACATTTCCTTTGGTTTGGGAGATATTTGGCGTTTAATTTTCAAAAATTTTGACAAGGGTGCATTGCAAAGAGTGGCACACCTATGGAAATGCATTGATGAAGCCCAAAATCATAGGGGTTCAAGTTGAGATTAAGAGACCAAATTCCCAGTCCAAGTAGTCTATGAGGAGATGAGGTAATAGTGACTTGTATCTAAAGCCATGGGTATCACCAGAACTCCCCGTAGTGGTACAATAAAACTACAGTCTCTACCCCACTGACATTTTAGTAGTTTAATTCTACATTTGCAAATGCATGAACATCTCATATAAATTAAAATCCTATTAAATACATATTTAGAAAGAAACTAGCTTTACTATTATAATAAAGTTCTACAAGCCAAGCAAACTCGAATTTCAATTCTTTTTATTTTCTAATTCATTTATTTCACACATTCATGACCCAACTTACCAGAATGTCTGTTCACTTGATTTTGTGGAATAATAATCTGGCACGATGGGGCATCGTTAGTGTTAGGAATTGGGTTTGTCAGTATACAAATGGCACGGACCACCTGTCCAACCTTTTTGCACCCCTCCTTATAGTAGGTTGGGTCACAAATGACCATCTTGCATTTCGCCACCTCCTCCCCAGATCTGACCCCAGCCACTTTGCCATCCTCCATCACAATTTCATCAATCTCCTTGTTCAGCATGTATGTACCTCCGTAGATTGCACTCAACCTGGGAATGAGTCCATTTGATATTTATATTGCACAGTTCTATACTGGGTTCGAGGGAAATAACATTTGTATTGTCTCAATATTTTGGTGTTAATATTTTATTGCAGATTGACAGAAAAAAAAGAATTGATAAACAAACTTCAGGATGTCTAATATGAAGTAAAATTATTTCATGAGACCAATAGTCTGCAGGAAATAGTTTGGCAAGATGGGCAATTACGTGCTGGACAACCTACGAGTGAAGGTTATGTTTTTGCATCTCTGAAAGACTAAACTGCAAAGCTTGACAGATTCCTTCCTACAGTATTTACTAAAACCTGCAATTCCATGCACAAGCAAGACAATTCTGCACCATGTTAACTGCTGAAGATCCTCAAACAGTACAACACAAAATACAGAATAGAAATGGGATGGGCTGGGATGAAATGGAATAAAATCTTTAATTTAAGCTGAAACTATTTCTAAGAACATTCTAAAATAATGTGCAGTCTACTTAGTGCAGCACTACTGACTTAGTTTTTGAACTTGTGGGTAAGTGAGAGATCCAACGGATTTTACTTTTTCACTAAAACATTCTATTACCTTGCAAAACCTTGTGGTAACTCTCCTAGTCCATACAGTGGGTACAAGTAAGGTGATTTGCCATACTTTGCCAGGGACTCAAAATAAAGCTTGACCTTGGCAATTCCCTCCACTGCGGGTGCGTCAAAATACCTAGAAGTACAACCTGGCTAGACAGCAAAGCTTGTATATATACAGACATTAAACTAAACAAAACTTAAATGAAAAGGAACAAGCTTTAACTACAGACAAATCATTATTTTTTTAATTAACAAATTTTAATTAAAATACCACTAGGTGTTATATTCTAAAAACAAGTGCAAGTGTATGTAATACAAGGCAGCAAAGTTGTCAAATGTATGTAGATATAAAGCAGAAAATAATGATTACAGTGTAGAAAAAAAGTCAATTTGATGCACCAATGCTAAAAAAAGAATAATTTTACAAAATTGGTCTATCCAAATCCCATATTTGAACTTGCATTATCACCAAATAAGTGCACAGTGACATGGACAACATTAGTCACGACAGACAAAGGTCAGTGCATCATAAACTTGCCTGAAGCACTTCAAGATAAAGTTTTAAAACTTTATCTTGAAGTGCTTTAAAAAGATCTTTACATAACTGCATCCTGATAACAGCACCATTTTTTTAGAAAATGATGTCCCTGAGGGATGATTTGGCTTACTTGTCATTTCTGTATAACGCCATGGCATGTCCTATTAGATCTGTAGCATTCTCGTCCAAACCAATTTCATCATAAAACTGCTTCATGGTAATTTTTGTGGCATCATGTGTTTTTGATATCTTGTGTGTCGCAGGGTTGTCGGCATCAAAATCATGGACAAAAGACAGAAACTTGCGCAATTTATTCTTTTGAAATAATCCTAACAGACCTGGAATAAAAATTAAACTAATGTAAGTTAAGAGACTTGTACTGTGGTGTTGTATGTATTTCATAAAATGCCTGGTCTGCAATAAGCATTCAACTTTCTCACAAACTTTGGCTGATGTATATCACACTGCCATCTTATCATTACTTGGTTCAAAAATATTCAGTGAAAACAAAATAAAACAATTCTAAGTTAATGTAATGTAAATTACTTTCCACATGATGCTTCATCCCAGTGCCTTAACATCCAAACTATTTTATCTGCTATTAAAATACCCCCTCCCTGCAGCATTTTTCAATATGGCATAAGTCATTCTTCTTACCAGAGGTTAAGCCTTCTTTTTCAGTAGACGGTAACTTGTCTATCTTGCCCTTCCTGTAGACAAAACTGCCTTCCACAGACTTGAATTCTAGGTATCTTGTCACTTTGGTATAAATTAGCAAATGGACAAGTTGGCCTAAAATATGCAAAAATATAATTTGTAACGCACACCCATTTAAACATACCCAAACAATGGACAGAGAGTTCCTACCCCCAAAATATCTGTACACAAAAGGTATTCGAGTGTGTCACACAGTCATACGAATGCCAATGGAAAAGCACTAGTTTAATTAACATTGCTTAGATTCAGCCACAGGTTTCAGCTCACCATTTTCTATATTCTAATTTTTTTCCAGCAATGGTTGGCCAATACATCCTTATGGGTTCATTTCATAAATAGGCAAAGTTTTCCTCTGCCCTAGAACCTGATGAAATCTTAATATTGCAGGATACGCCATGATATTGCTGACCCATTTTTGTTCAGAAACTCAATCAATATAGGTATTTTAATGATTTTTCTTTGTCAAAAATATATTTAGAATTGTAGTAAAAAATAATAAATAAATAAACTAAGGGAACACAGTCAATACTTGAAATATATGTGCATGTCAGAGTGGAGATTATTATTTCATTTGGGAAGTTTAGTGAACAAACTCCATCAACCTCAATTTTGCTTGGGAAATTTTTATTTGCCGTGACTGTTAAACATTTCACCAGTTTCCAGTGTGGTTGCCATACTTACCATTGGCCATAAGAAACTTGGGAATTAAGTCCACATTCCAGTCTCTGCCTGCACCAAAGTCCTCTGGAGGATCAGGAAAACCAAAGTGTTTAAAACACTGAAATCAAATTAAAAAAAAGAACCAAGTTAAATGCAGAAGGTTTAATGTTTTTCTGGATCCCTAGGCACCCCAATTTGCAAAATATTCCAAGCAACAGTGAAATATCTTTAACAGAAGTAAAGTAGTAATGTGATGCAGTGTTTAAAGTCTTTAATGCTAAGTGAATTTGTCCTATTGCAATGGGTTGTGGGGAACATTTAAACAACGAGAGCAAATGTAGATAAATCTGCAAAAATGGTTTGGAAACAATAGAAATGCTTATAATTGGACACAGTAGTTAGGGAGGCTTTTGCTGTAAACTGCACAGTATCAGAGTGTTTTCATTTGGTCAAAACATTCAAGAACTTCAGAAAGTCAATAAATGTATACATATAAATTACATTTTGTAGTCCACGGTGAGTCATTGCTGATGCAACCTCAGCACAAATCCTGAGTTTATATAAATTAAATTTCCTGATGCATATTGGATTTCATATTAGAGACAAACTACATTTGCAGTTTGGTTCTTAACTGCATATTTTTCTCATTCAATGGCAATTGAAAATATTAACAATATATTATACATCTTTGAACAGTAAAACTGCTCCTTTCCCATGGTAATTGAAGCTTCACAATCTGAATATTCAGTTTCTTATTTTCAAGCATCTTTCCCACATGGCATATAAAACACAATGAAAGAATCAATTAAGATGGCACAGACTAGATAGATCTTCATGAAAAAAAGAAAAAAGACGGGTCAATATTTTATCAGCTGGAATTTTGCCAAAGTCTGAAGATTGTACAGCAGACCACATTGGAATGGTTGAATAAGCCAATAATCAGCCCCCAGCGTGCAAGGTTTCCTGATGGATTATAAATACAAGTCTTCGTAAATGTTGAATAGCTGCAGTTTCTTTTTCTACTACATTGCTAGGTAAAGTATACACTTGTCTACTAAGTCACTCATTTTTTAAGATGTCTAAAAAAGATTATTTAAATTACTTTCGCTTGATTTAGCTCAAATTAAGGTCGCACAATTATCAAAATTTTGATTTAAGTAAAAAGCATACGTTAGGTTTGAAGGGCAAAAATTTAGCTCAATTGCAAAATAATGTAACTTAGATGTTGGTCATGGACTTGCACATCTCTCAGAGTGCACCACTGGCATTTAATGATCATATGAGAAGATCAGTAGTATGGCATAATTTCATTAACAAGCCAGGTGAAGTGGATATATATCCAAGCAAGTCCCACTGAGAAAGTAACAACTTAAAGCAGTCTAATCCCAAGTATCAACTGTGAACCACAAAAACACTGCCAGGGCTTATGTCTCTCTCATTATTGGGAATGGGTTTCAATTCAGGCGCAAAAATAATTTAAAAAAAAAAACAATGAACAAACAAACAAATAAATAAATAGAAAATGCAGCAAAGACCACGATGTTTTTAATCAAAAGACTTTTGAAATAATAATAATACTGCTTGCAGTAATATATATCAATTTATAAAAGGCCATGCATGTTTTATTGCCTTTGATTAAAGATTTTTACCTCTCACATAACAGCATATCAGAGCTGTACAACAAGAGTAATATACTTGGTGATTCAATACCCCATTTAGGTGATAATCTGTATCTGATATCACTCTACAATTCAACTAAGTTCATCAAGGTCATAAATTACTCATCATGCTGGATCAGTTGCTCCATTCAACTGAGATAATTTAGTATTCAGACTTGCCTTAATTTTGTGTAACTACATGGATGGATTGTAAGAAACACAGATGAGTGACATAGATCATATTTACTATCAAAAACAGTTACATGGCTAACATAGGTTTTTACATTCAAAATATCTCAAGTCCTAGCACTAATGAGATTTTGTTAGTCGTGGGATTACCACCTAAAAGGCTATATTCTCTTGAATTAGATCTACAGGAAAACAGCATCTGGAACTTTAAATGTAATGCACTGGTGACAAAGTCAACTATCAAACAACTTCTCTTGTTGGAAATTGATTAACTTTGAAACAATCATCCATTTTTAACTTCCCAAGTTATTTTTGTAAAAATAACATCATTCTATACTTCACTAACACATACACAGAAAAAAATTCTGAAGTCAATTATCCCCTAAAATAACAAGAAAACAAATCACTCAGCTTAAGTTAATTTAAGAAAAAATCTTATTCATCAATCAGTTACTATGCCCTATCAGGAAAAGTTGGGGCAAATATGACGAAAGTAAAGTCTATTTCACAGCTAAGTCTAAATTATTCAACAACATGATTTCCTGGAAGTGTATCATTAGCCCTCTGGCATAGTGATCGAGATTAAGAACACTGGGATTCTAACCTGCTTATCTATATTAATATTTTTGCGTTCTCACACATAAAAACAAAATCGTGATTCCCTTTGCTAGATCTGGTAACTGTACTGGTGCTCGCATGGTATGTCCTGTTGAGCATGTGCTTTAGTCTCTACATTCATGCTGGACAATACAGGAAACTGTCCAATGCTTTAAACAAATCAACATTCCCACTGTAGATTTTATACCATAGTAAAAATTTTACAATGACACAATCCTGCTCCTGACTGAAGTAGATTATTTTGAATCACGATTTGGTGATGCTATTGCGTTCACACTATAGGCTTTACATTGATAAAACAATAAAGATCAAATAACAATTCAAAATGCTGTGTGTGAATGGGGTAATTGTTGCTCTAGCAAGTTTCTTGGAAAAGCTGACTCAATGTGTATTTTTTAATGAAAAAGTAATACACCTTAAGCAACCATTATTATATTTTAGATAAAAGTGGTGGTCATTTCACTTTTTAGTAATGTCATTTTTCGTCCATGTGTGTGTATGCAAGTGTATGTGTGTGACACTGTTTGTAGCTTACGTCTTTCAGTGGAGTCAGGGAAGCACTCTCTCCTCCATAGTACGAGTTCCTGTCCATGTGAAGGACTTTCTTCCCACTGACTGAGAACAATCCACTCAGAATACACTCCTGCAAAAAAATTAATACAAGTGTGAAAAAAAATGAGGAAAAAAGTGTCAAAATGTGCCATCCACAATACAAGAATGACAACTAAAAATCAATGTAAACCAGCTGTCAATAGGAACAAATGAGGACAGTTCAGATTAGCTACCCAGAGATCAATAGGTCACTTTAAACCTCCTTCATCCTATACTAAATAGTCATATATGCCTTATAGGCAATTTCAATAGACCACCCCATGATTGACAATTTTATGTTTTACTTAGTATAACCTCTTCTGTACCTAGAGGGAACAACATATTGGTATGTACAACAAAAATTATGAAGGGGATAAATCATGTGTACCAGTGGACTAGTTTTTACAATGGCTGCAGGCAAAACAAGTTGTCAAACAGTGTTGTTGTTTGTTTTTTTTTCTTCTTTTTTTCATTATCATTTTTCTTTTGTCTTGTATTTCATTTTTTTTTTCATTTTATAACCATTACTTTGTAAAGCTTAGCATCAATGTTTTTGACGTGCTTGAGAGTCAACTTAAATAAACTGACTTGACATTATGATTACCCTTTTTATTATGCAAGTGTGGAAAATCTCAACTTAATGCACAAACCTTCTGATCGACAATGAATCTGTTTGCCAACATTCAAAAACCATAATTCCAACCATTGTTATTTATGTAAGAGTTTGAATTACAGTGATAAGAAAACCTTGCATCCACAATGAAAAACATATTACTCTTCTATTATGCTATTATAAGAAAAACGGACCTGTTCACTGCTCAAAACAAGAACAAGTTCAATTCATTATTGCATGCAAAACAGGAACGGTGTGCAAACAATGCCACAGCTGCACGAAGATCATTTAGGCTGTGTAAAAGTGTGACGTTTGCAAAATTACTGATTTAGTATTATACAATGTTTTTATCAACACATTTGAAGGGGGTTGTGACAGTGTCACAAGGCATCATTTAAAGCACACAGAAGTCGCCGCAAAATTACAAAACGCATTGTTGAGAAAAGACCAGCCCACTCCAATCAACTACCCGGCGACAAGCCCAGTCACAGGGTTCACCGGGGGCGTGTTATTTTTCGATGGCAAATTATAAATTGATCGAGCACATGATCATTATTGCATTACCTTCAAACCAGTCCCTAAAACGATTAAATCATATTCCTCTTCCATGATGAACCTGGCAGTTTCTCAACGACCAAATTTCACTAATTTTTTTCAACAAATGTCCCTTCTTTTCCTGTTTTGACAAAGATGGCTACTCTCAGGGCTGAACAACGATATTTCGCCGACAATATTATTCCGCTTATAACTAGTGCGTATTGTATTTAATAAAACGAAAATATCTGCACATAATGCTGATTCTCTTTTAATATGATATTGTATTAAGGGTATTTTTTCTAAGAATACGTGTTTTCGATCAGCAACTTTGAAACATTCTCCAAAAGATTGCTTTAAAGCGCATTGATCTCATCTGACTCTCTGTAGAACTATTTGCGATTACATTTATTATGACAATCGATTTTTATATTTTGAGTTCAATTTACAAAATGACATAAGTATATATTGAATTATACAAAAAATAATATCTGAATAAAGGAAGGGCAATTTTTCTTACGTGACAAACTAGTTTGTCAGAAGGCATCTTTTAGGCATTGAATTTATTTTCTCGCGCGTTTGACTGCAGGTGATTGCGTGCGGCTGCCCTTGCCATAGAGAACAAGGTTTTCATTGGATAACCCCTAGAAAAATAGGTCAAGTCTGTCTTAAGAAGATGTTTTTATTTTTATGTAGTTTTTCCTTCTTTTGAAGATATTATATCCAAAACAATGGCCAGTAATTTTGACTTCCCGAATTCTTCTTTCGAGCAGAAAGCATCTGGCGACGACAGAAGAGAGGAAAGTGTACAGGGTAAAGACTGCAGTTTCGTTTTCTGCACGATGTGGTGTTATTTTTGATGTCCGTCTGACCGTCGGAATTTCCCTTTTTGAGGTCGAATGAAATCTTTTCGCCAATTTCTAGTACACATAATTTACCTAGTCTACAGAAAACTCTCACGAAATTATTTTCAAGTTGTAAAATATAAAGCATTTTTTTCATTCGGCACTGAGTTAAGTAGTTAAACCTGTTTAGCCCCCCCCCCCCCATTTAATACATGTACGTTTTATACTAATATTTTTAAAGACAAGTAGGCTATATTCATATCAAAGTGAAAGAACGATTATATGATATAGATATTGTATGGCTAAGTGTTTTTTTTTTGCTGCAGGTAAGATGAATTATAATGTTTTAAATATGATAATTCTTTTGCAGAGCTGACAAGGGAACAGAGGCACTTGCTGTTACAAGTTTTCCCTGAACTGAGCAGTGTCAAATCTGATGATCCAAGGTATGTATACAACATAAAAATATGTCATTTTGTGCAGGGTTTGATTTTATAAGTTATTTATTTTAGGTAACTAATTTTTTTAGTTTAGCAGAAAGCTTTGTTAATTAAATACTTGTTTTATGGTTCAGCTGATAACTTCTTGTGTTTTAAAAGAATGCATTAAGTCCTCCTTACTTTCTTTTATTTTCAAATGTCCAAAACGTTTATTGTTAAGTTTTTAACAGATTGATAGCTAACACCTGATTTACTTTGGAACAAATGTGATTGTTCATTGTTTATTTATAGGAAAGATGTTGGTTTCCCGGCCTTGTCTTCATTTTTGGACTCAGTGCTTGACAAACAATCAGAAGAACACAAATCACCAGGTAAATTATCCCACCAGAAATGGTGCAGAACTCACCACATTGGCCACTAAATGATACAGTGTATGCAAGGTTAATTCATGATTAAAAAAGTTATATGCCATTTTTTGTAAGTTTGTCCTTTTACAACACCTTACCACCTTCCATAATCAAGGGTGGGGAGAACCTCACTCCACAGAATCACCAATCACCAAGAAAAAGACAGTTTAATCACATATCACCAAGATTAAAACAACTCAATCACCAAGAATTGAAAGCAATTTCAGTCTTTGGCCAAAATTACTGTAGGGCTAATGCTATGTTTTCACAATTTGGGAGGGCGAATCACAGTTGTAAATTTATGCTAATCAGGTGGATCAATGAAATCCCTAAATCAAATTTCATGCTACATTTTGGGCTTTAAAAGAGCATCATGCTCTTAAAATAAGGCAAATCAAGAGGAAAGCAAAAGATATTCCCCACTCTCATTATTGTTCCACATGTACATACTAGTATGTATATTTAATTATACCCCAGTATTGCCAATTATCATCCTATTTTTTTTTTAAATTTATCCATGCTGATACACAGTTTTAAGAGAAAGAATGAGTCAGGTTTGGCAAGCAGGTCTGTTAAGGCAGAGCAGTAATAAAATAGCACATGCTTGTTTGTAAGTCAAAACCATGTCTAATAAGGAAAAAACAAACAAACAAACAAACAAGACAACGTCAGCCAGTGTGATTTATATTAAATTAGTTAAAAAAAAATGAAGATTTATGATATTTGAATTATTTCAGAACGCGTGGGGTTCCTGGGCCCCCAAGACATCCTGTTTGACATCACTGCCAATGTGGGCACTCTGCTTGTTGAGGCTGACAGGCTGGGGGTAAGTATACCCTCTGCTAGGGCGGCAGGGTAATTACATGCACTTTTCTCCAGAAAAAATTATAGAATTGTGTCATGAATTAGCCAGAGACATATCTGTGACCCTGGTACAAGGTAGGGTAGGTTGTAGTAGATGCAGTAGTTAATGTATTAGTAGTAGTAGGAGGAATAATAGTAATATCAAGTAGAAATAATAGCAGTTTTAAAAGAAATACTGTAGAAGTAGTAACAGTACTGCTGTAGTAGCAGTAACAGCAGCAGTAGTGTAAAAGCCACAACTGTTGCTTATGGACTTAAGTTTTTTTTTTAATATGCTGAAATTGAGTAACTGGAATCTTGTATTTCCCCTGCATAAAGACAAGCAAGAGGGGCTGCCTTGCTAAAATCACCAGCCACTCCTCACGATTTAAACTGAAATGCCAAAATTTACCCTGGGGAGCATACCCCTTTGGATCACTTTGTACATTTTGTGCTGGCTTTCCTAGGAGCACAAAAAATGAAAAATCTAGCAAGAAAAGTTGACTGATTGGCTCATTTCTTTAGTCATTGGTAACCCATGGATATGTCATAATGATATTCTGTTGAAATACTGTTTAAAAATCAATGACAAAATGTCATTTTTTTTATGTATTCAGGTTGCTAGCCATAGTAATTTCTGCACTATTAGGGCTAACGGTTGTGTGTTCAAAGGTGAGTACATTCATATTAAAATTTTGACAATTGGTATGTAAACCTCAATGTCTGCTACTCAAATATGCTGTTAAATTTGGTACATATTTAAACCTCCACATTTGCTGTGGAACTGCAATTATTTTTGAGTCACATTCTGTATAAATATGCTAATAGACTTGCATTGGGCACATGCCATAGAAGTTAATTGTTGGGTCATTCCACAAAAAATGGCTCTCTTTGTTGCTTTAGTGATGCACACATTTTGTGTATTATATATATTTGCATAACTGTTTTATGCCACTTTTTAATTGCTCTTGATTTCATTCCACATTGAAGGATACAATATATTATATAACAACACAAATAATGTGGACAAGTTAAGACTAACAGTATTTCTCAAAATATGAGCGTCATTGACATGACTCAGGATGTAATGTTTTGTGGATTCACCTTGATTGGTTAGCACATAGCCATACCACAATTATCTCCATTTATCTATCAGGAAAGTGGATTTATGAAGTCATGCTTGGTTCAAAGGGGGTCATGCAACTTGGATGGTCTACAATCAATTGTACTTTCTCTCAAGAGGTAGGTTGTTTGATTGCAGTCTGTGCCAAAATTGTTTCTCTTACTGGTTCTTTGAGACACCAGGTTGTAAGAATTTTATGGGAATAGTGTCAAAAATATGAAGAAAGAGAAATGCCGTTGCAAAAATCTTTTCATAATATTATCTAAGTTTAGCAGGTCTGAGCTGTTAGTTACTAGTTCCCCAAGTCCAATTTTTAAAATAGTAAAATTTACCCAAATGTAATCTGGCAGTGACAATTTTAAGAAATCATTATTGATATTGCAAAGAAAAATTACATGAAAAAATACCTACTCTCTCTAGGAAGGTGTGGGTGACACAGCAAATTCCTATGCATATGATGGCAACAGGCTGAGGAAATGGAATGTGAAGACACAAAGATATGGTCAAGTAAGATATTGATTCAGTATATTTTTCTAGGCTCAAGGAATTAATAGCAAATGCTTAAAATGATGCACTGAAGTTAAAGGTAATGTCTGAACCAATCTCTCTCTCTCTCTCTCTCTCTCTCTCTCTCTCACACACAAACACACTAACAGCAAATAAATGTCTTCTGTTTCAGGGCTGGTTGACAGGAGACATAATCAGTTGTGGTATAGACTGTGATGAGGGCACTGTCACATTTTTCAGGTAAGAAAACAGAAACAAGAATTCTGTTAAAAGTTTGTGAAGACTAAGGATGTACTATTCCAAAAAAAATTTTTTTTCACTTAAGTAAAGAATAATGTTGCATGAACAAATTTATTTTTTTTTGCACTAAAAACGATAGTTTTATTTTAAATTATCCATCCACCACATGCCACTATGATGAATATTATGAAATATTTAAGAAATGGCCAGTCAATGGGAACAGCATTCAGCAACATACGTCTGGGCAGAGAAATGGCTTACTTCCCCTCAGTCAGTCTCTCATTTGGAGAAAACATTCGTGTGAATTTTGGTGCTACACCTCTTAAGTATCCCATTGAAGGCTACCGGGCACTTCAGGCACCCCCTACAGTTAATGTTACTAAGGCGTGGACTCTTCTGTCTTGGGTTGATAGACTTTTGCCATTGATTGAGAAAGAGAACCAGGTAGGTTATAATTTATTATTTATTTATTTATCAATACTTTTTGATTTTTTCTTTCAGTTTGCATATTTGTATGCTCTGACTGTAAACTTTCACACACCAGTTTTAATTTTATTCTCAAAAAGTTTAAATGATAGATTGCCAGCACAAGATGTTAATCAAATCGATGACTAATTAAAATGCCAACTTATTCCTTTTCATAAAAGAGTAAGCCTTTTGCATAATCTGAATAAAAAATGTCAGTGAGCTGTAGCAGTTTGTGGCATAACTCTTTTTTGAATGGTAGCTGTATTATGTAAAGTGTCAATATGTTAATTTTTTTTAAATTCCCCCTTTTTCCTAATTAATTATGGCTTCTGTTTATACTTAGATAATTTTAAAATACCAGCATTGAAAATAAGTAGGAGCTCTGTCCTGTTCCAGCAACCCAGTGTGGCACTGGTTCCAGAGGCTCTCCCATTGAAATCTGAGGGCAGAAGCAGAAAGGCCACCCTGCTATTGGTAATGGGGCACGTGTTTGAAAAGCTGGTCCCTTTACTGGTAAGCTTTTGTGATGACTGCACGTGTTCTCTGCTTCTTAGCAGTTAAGTGTATATTGTGCACATTTTTGTTGGTGATGGTGTTTAATACGTAGACTATGAGTAAACTTAAAACTTTTCTTGCATAGAAAGACGGGATCTATCTAGGGTAAACATTTCTCTAAGCCAAGCTGCTTAGGAATTTCAACCAAATCAGAAAATTTACTTTTGATAAAATCACATTTCAAAAAATTTTTTTCAGACCAAAGCTTATGTTGTTGAGGAGTGCTTGCTAAAGTATTTATTGCGTAACTGCCACCCTGATGATGTTAAGACTGACAACAACAGAGTTATACAGATGCTAAATATGCTGTGGATGTACGCACAGGTAAGAATAGTAATTAAAGAACTTTGTCAGCTGTGTAATACACCAAGTCATTAAAACAGCCAAAATAGTGAGGTGCAAAAAACTGTTGTTTTGAAGAAAATTGTATCATCACTTCATATACCACTTTTTTTTCACAACAAAGTATTAGCTCTTTTTCGAGGCTAGAGTGTGACAAGTCCTGCTGGATGGCAAGTAGTTGTGCATTTTAAGCCAATTTAACCTGGATTTGTGGAAGTATGCTCTAAACTCAATTGCTTTATGCACTAATCTCGATTGCTTAATGTGCTATAGTAATCAATAACTTGAATACTGTGTATATATAATATAACTGTCCACTTAAAGTGTGACACATATTTTACAGGAGTTTGAGTTGAAGCCATGTCTTGAATACCTGGCAATTGGTTTGCTGGCAGGTTACAGGTTCTCTCCCATCACTACAGACTTTACAGAACAGGTAGTGTGTGTGCATGTGTTTGAGCTTTATTGTTATTGGCTTTTACAAAACTTAGGAAAATAAGTGGTTAACCAAAGCCAAGCTAGTGCCAGGAGTAAAGCTGTTTGGAATTTTATTTTGTTTATAAATCATTCTTTTGTGATGTACAAATAGGGATGACTAATATGAATTTAATGTACATGCTGGATTTTTATATAGTTTTTTAATTTTCTGTATATAAATAAATATAAAATATTTTTCTAAGGCTCAAGTACTTATATCTTTCTTTCTTTTTTTTTTCCAGAGAAAATATTTAACCCTGCTCCTGGTTATTTTACGGCATGCTGACATCAGGAAACACTTACTCAAGTTTGTTTTGTATCCTTTACTTTAATGTCTGACAGTTTACTAATAAAAAACATATTAAATATTTTAAGTGGATGAAAATAATTAGACACCCAACTACAATTACATAAACTTAAGTTTTGCAGACATGATTTTTTTTTTTCGGGGGGGGGGGGGGGTTAGACAGAAACCCAATTTTATTATTGAATGTGTTTCATGTGAAGTGGCCTCCCAGATCCCCATCATGAGGCCATCTGGAAATTTGTTCTAATTACATTGTACAACCTAAAGTTATGTCTGGTTTTTTAAAACTATTTCTTTCATTACAACCATAGTCCTTGTAAGGAGGAGGCAATGTTATCATAGCCAGCAGTTGCAGTAAGTTCAGTTTTAAAGAGTCATTCTGCATGAAATATGACAGTATTCTCTAAAATCTGCCCACTTCTTAACCAATGTTAGATTTGATAAAATCAAGTTCCCAATCTTCATGCACGTCAAACCAGCAGATGACACCAGTCTTCTGGAGCTTATTCCCGAGGTGTGGTGGGCAGAGGTCAAGGAGGTCAGTATGGGTATAACCCCAGGTTGACCATTGGTCAGTTGTTCTTAATGATGTCACCTGCCACCTGGAGCTAGTGTTACATGTGGTCATCAGAGTAGACTTCATAGTTGTGTGTATAATATATATGCAAGTTCCAAGTACGAGTTGTGACACATATTTGGCTGATAATTGGTGTAAGTAACCACTACAACAATTGATGTCCTGAACAAAAAAAAAAATAAATAAATAAATAAATAAAAAGTAAAAAATATTTAAAAAAAGATGGTGGATCTCCCCTATTTTTTCCATTCACCATAGTTGATGTGTAAATCTATTTCTTACTGTAAGAATAGGGTAAATTTGGTATGTCTTAAGAAGTAAGAATAGGGTAAATTTGGTATGTCTAAAACTCTGGCAAGATCAGCAAGAACTTAATTTGGCCCCTGTAGATGATAATATTTTTCCTTCTAGGATGACAATAATGAAGAAGATGAGGACCTTCCAGCTGAGCCTGTCATTGCACCAAAACAGAAGCAGTATCTGGATGCTTGTGAGGCTCTGAGAAAGAGAGTAAAAGGTAAGGTTGTGTTAGCTGAGCCACTGTTTAGGATGTAGTGTTGTTGATGGTGACATTTCTAATTCAGGTATTTTGAATATGTGTTTGCACATATGGCAATTGTTGTTGTAATGTCTATTAGGTAAAAATGTTCTTAAACATAAAAAATTGAGTGAAGGAAGAATGTTGATGGCGCCCACAGAATTTAATTCTCTCTTACTAAAAAGACAGTGCTTATGTTTCAATGATTATCATATTATATAAATTGTTTTTGTTTAAGAATATTGTGATAAAACCATTAGATAATGACAGTCATTAGCAGTGGACAAATATCATTTTGTTTCAGAATTAGAAGACATTCAAGTGGAGATTCTAAGTTGTCTTATGATAGATAATGATGGCAAAAGGGTGAGCTGAGTATTAAAGTCATGAATTAACTTATTATATTCTTTAAAGAATAATTTTAAAAAATTTTCAAGTTGAATACATTTGTATAACCAGCTGAGTTGAGAATAGCCTATGCTTCTCTGTTTACATCCACTTCTATGCTTTAAAGTTTTTAATAGGTGATATATTTAAAATCTTGTAAATTGCACTATATACCATGGGTGTTTTGACTTAAATTTTAATTGNAGTCCTGCTGGATGGCAAGTAGTTGTGCATTTTAAGCCAATTTAACCTGGATTTGTGGAAGTATGCTCTAAACTCAATTGCTTTATGCACTAATCTCGATTGCTTAATGTGCTATAGTAATCAATAACTTGAATACTGTATATATATAATATAACTGTCCACTTAAAGTGTGAGAACATATTTTACAGGAGTTTGAGTTGAAGCCATGTCTTGAATACCTGGCCATTGGTTTGCTGGCAGGTTACAGGTTCTCTCCCATCACTACAGACTTCACTGAACAGGTAGTGTGTGTGCATGTGTTTGAGCTTTATTGTTATTGGCTTTTACAAAACTTAGGAAAATAAGTGGTTAACCAAAGCCAAGCCAGTAATAAAGCTGTTTGGAATTTTATTTTGTTTATAAACCATTCTTTTGTGATGTACAAATAGGGATGACTAATATGAATTTAATGTACATGCTGGATTTTTATATAGTTTTTAATTTTCTGTATATAAATAAACTATATAACTATTACATACTTGTCTAAGGCTCAAGTAATTATATTTTTCTTTCTTTTTTTTCCAGAGAAAATATTTAACCCTGCTCCTTGTTATCTTAAGGCATGCTGACGTCAGGAAACACTTACTCAAGTTTGTTTTGTATCCTTTACCTTAATGTCTGACAGTTTACTAATAAAAAACATATTAAATGTTTTAAGTGGATGAAAATAATTAGACACCCAGTTACAATTACATAAACATAAGTTTTGCAGACATGATTTTTTTTTTTTTTTTTTTTTTGAATTAGACAGAAACCCAATTTTATTATTGGATGTGTTTCATGTGAAGTGGGCTCCCAGATCCCCACCATGAGGAGATCTTGAAATATGTTCTATTTACTTTGTACAACCTAAAATCATGTCTGGTTTTTCAAAACTATTTCTTTCATTACAACCATAGTCCTTGTAAGGAGGAGGCAATGTTATCATAGCCAGCAGTTGCAGTAAGTTCATTTTTAAAGAGTCATTCTGCATGATGACAGTATTCTCTAAAATCTGCCCACTCCTTAACCAATGTTAGATTTGATAAAATCAAGTTCCCAATCTTCATGCACGTCAAGCCAGCAGACGACACCAGTCTTCTAGAGCTTATTCCTGAGGTGTGGTGGGCAGAGGTCAAGGAGGTCAGTATGGGTATAACCCCAGGTTGACCATTGGTCAGGTGTTCTTAATGATGTCACCTGTCACCTGGAGTCTATTTAACGTGTGGTCATCAGAGTAGACTTCATAGTTGTGTGTATAATAGATATGCAAGTGCCAAGTACGAGTTGTGACACATATTTAGCTGATAATTGGTGTAAGTAACTGCTAGAACAATTGATGTCCTGAACAAATAAATAAAATGAAATGAAATAAATAAAAATAAAAAAATATAAAAAAAGAGGATGGATCTCCCCCTATTTTTTCCATTCACCATAGCTGATGTGTGAATGTTTTTCTTACAGTAAGAATAGGGTAAATTTGGTATGTCTAAAGAAGTAAGAATAGGGTAAATTTGGTATGTCTAAAGAAGTATGAATAAGGTAAATTTGGTATGTCTAAAACTCTGGCAAGATCAGCAATTTGGTAGCATTGACTAATTAACAAGAACTTAATTTTGCCCCTGTAGATGATAATATTTTTCCTTCTAGGATGACAATAATGAAGAAGATGAGGACCTTCCAGCTGAGCCTGTCATTGCACCAAAACAGAAGCAGTATCTGGATGCTTGTGAGGCTCTGAGAAAGAGAGTAAAAGGTAAGATTGTGTTAGCTGAGCCACTGTTATGGATGTAGTGTTGTTGATGGTGACATTTCTAATTCAGGTATTCTGAATATGTGTTTGCACATATGGCAATTGTTGTTGTAATGTCTATTAGGTGAAAATGTTCTTAAACAAAAAAAATTGAGTGAAGGAAGAATGTTGATGGCGACCACAGAATTTAATTCTCTCTTACTAAAAAGACAGTGCTTATGTTTCAATGATTATCATATGATATAAATTGTTTTTGTTTAAGAATATTGTGATAAAACCATTAGATAATGAGAGTCATTAGCAGTGGACAAATATCATTTTGTTTCAGAATTAGAAGACATTCAAGTGGAGATTCTAAGTTGTCTTATGATAGATAATGATGGCAAAAGGGTGAGCTGAGTATTAAAGTCATGAATTAACTTATTATATTCTTTTAAGAATAATTTTAAAAATTTTTCAAGTTGAATACATTTGTATAACCAGCTGAGTTGAGAATAGCCTATGCTACTCTGTTTACATCCACTTCTATGCTTTAAAGTTTTTAATAGGTGATATATTTAAAATCTTGTAAATTGCACTATATATCATGGGTGTTTTGACTTAAATTTTAATTTGTTGTACATTTTTAAATACTTTGTTTTATTGTCTTTCTAGGGTGCACCCAACACAAGGTTTATATTTCTGCAGAAGTTTAAGGAGTTTCTTAAGGAAAACATGACATCAGGGAGAGTAAGTGTGTGCATGGGTACAAAATATTTCATGTGCATCAGTCTAATGGAATGGTAGACCAATATATTCACTGGGACAGCATGCTAGAAAAATTATTTGGTCAAAAAACAAGGATTAAAAAATGTGATTTTGCTTATTTGACTGCCTTTGTTTATGATTTAATAAATTTATTTGACTGTCTTGAAATGTAAAATAGCAAGATGGCAATAGTTTGGCATTATCTACTGTTGTATTATCACAAATTGTCAATATTTGATTGATTTCCCCAGGCCTTTCTCTCTTTGATGTGTATAATGTGTAAGTCAAAAGTAAATGATAATCTTTGTTTTAGGTACATCCTGTCCAGCAGTGCCCCCTACCAGTGATATTGTGCTTATTTCACAGAATGATCCGTCTGCTTAGATCATTATGGGATGATCATGCGACCCGTGCTGCTTCACGGGGTCTGGTCAGCAGTGACAGTATGTGCTGGGATAGTCTTGCAAAATTATTTTCCTTTTTCTTTTTTTCTTTTCTTTTTAAATATTTTTCCATAGTGTTAATCACAAATGTCAGAATGAATGTTTTAAAATATAATAAAGATTGAATTTTGTCTTAAAATATAATAAAGATGGAGAATTATACATTATTAAGATGGAGTTTTATACATTACAGCTGTGTGATTGTACAATTTTAGAAATCTGTAAACAGCTGGAAATTTTTTAATAAAAAAATGAGGGAAACCATTACAAATTGCACTATTTTATCATTATTTTATTTTTCTTTACTTCTATTTTTGGTTGGCATATCATAGTCGTACAATAGATAATGTTTCTGCTTATGACCATGGTGTTTTTTCATTACTGTCATCCAGAGGCTCATGTAGCAGAATGGTGTTTTGCTGATGACAGTGTGACATTTGTGGACATCCAGAGATTTGGAGGAGTAATGAGCCATCTGAAGAAAGAACACAAAGGTGAGGTACCCTCCTCCTCCTCCTGTTTTGTTAATAAGATATTTGAGCCTTCTTAGGTTTCAGTAGATATGTGGTGATTTCTTGATTTTTTCAATGGTGGGGAATTTTAATGCTAAGGTTTATGTAGCCTTTTTTCAATCAGACAGTCTGTTTATAATCAAATTAATCAAAAAAGACTAAAGAAGAATCATTTCTTTTGCCAGAATGAATAATTTCCAGCATTTTATCGAAAACTTATGCTAGCAACAGCTTAAAAGTTGTATCTTTGCCTTTCAGAACTTTTGCAGAAATGCAGTGAGCACAGATCCAGATCTGATCTACAACTCCCCCCTACCTCCCTCCTAGAGCTGTTAGATGGGACAATCATGTTATTTGACATAGGGGCATACAAACAGCTGGGCAAAATGGCCACCCTCCATGACACAATGAAGGAGTATGTCCTGGCACTACAGGACACGCAGAGTAAAATTGACCGCGCTGCACCAGAGGTAGGTAGACGAGAATCTTTAAAGTTCCTATATTTTTTTTAATGGGGTTTGATTGTGGGGAGAAGTAACTTGGGGCCTGTTTCTCGAGACAACTTCAGTCTGAAATTATTCTTTATGATAAAGGCTGTTAAGAATTTATCCATCTAGGTTGTGTTTCAGAAAAAAGATTTAAAGATTTGGTTCCTGTATTTTTTGGGTCTTTTAATTGTTCCCCTTTAGCACTTGACAGAGTCATATTCAGTGCACACATTTAAATTTTGTAATGTTGTGGTGACAGAACTCAATAGGCAAGAAAAAAAAACTATTATTCATACAACAAGATCAATATTAATTATTTTAGAGTCAATTTAATATAGATGTCTATCCAATTTCCTGAATGTGTTTATACAGAGCGTTTAATCTTAAAGTTTGAAATGTTTAAAATGTATCATTGGATAGTATAAGACTGTAGTGAAAGATGCAGCATAAAGTTCACAGAATTAATCTCTCCTCCTAATGGATTAGCCCATGTATAGAACAAAAAAATGTTAATTGAACTGTTTCTCTGAACTTCAGTAAAAATTAAAGGTGTAACTGAAGGCTCTATCTTCCTGTCTTATCTCAGTTTTCATCCCTGATTGGTGTACTAATTAATTGTCCAGGTTCATTTTCAATATTATTTCTGAAAGAAGCTTGCCTTGGGTTATCTTTTCACCTAAGATATGTGCAATTAAAGAATGTCAAGATCTTCACTTATTATCATTATATTTATTATTTATATCAAATGTTATATATTCAGATGACAGAAGTGTTAGCAGAGGTCAACCATGCCAAGTCCGTATTCCTAGAAAAGTCTGCAGAACAAGCTAGGCAGAGAGCTTGGCTCATAGCAGTTGTCTACTCCAAGGTAGTAATTTTTATAAAAGCAAAGATATATCATACAAACTGGTTTGAGGATGTGTATGCAAGTGTGTATGTGCACACATGAAGGCAAGTACAAAATTACTAAGAAAGAGAAAGTCAACATTTTCCATGCACAAGGAAAAAAAACTAAATTTAGCTGGTATCAAAAAATCTTCTGATAACTCCTTTCTCAGCATACACAATCCTTCTGATTTTTGTTTAATTTGGATATTTTCAGTGACTTTTCAATGCAACTTAAATCAAATTTCAGGAGAAGCAGCTGGATGTACAGTGGATAATGGAGACTGCGATGCGTACCATTGAGAATGCCACGGTCTTTTTTCCCTTCATACCAGAGTACTACATTGAAGTCTGCATCAATGCCTACAATGCTTTGAAGCACTACTTCAATCCCATCCAGCCCTTCAGGGCTCTGGAGCACCTGGATAGGATTAATGAAGAATTTGCAAGGTTCTTGGCAAAACATTTTGCTAACAACCAAATTGTGAATACAGGTAAGTATGGAAATATTTAGTGGTGTGCATGTATACATGCAGAAAGGCACTCAGAGTACCTGCACATGTGCACGGACACACACACACACACACACACACACACACACACACACACACACAC